TTAATGCTCATACATAGGGTTTTATAAATTTTGATAATTTTAACATCTCAGGGTGCTTAACAAAAACGCGTACGCGATCGACAGGGTCACAGTCTTACAAAGGTGACTAAGCATGGCCGCCGATTTGACTACCGCTGACCTCTCCTCGAGAACTGAATAAGACACCAGCCGCACATTTCCCTCGTGTTCTCAAACTGGCTCGTCGTGTCTTTATCACAGTGTATAAATAGATGGCTTAGGCTTCTTTTGTTAAGTAAAAGCTTGTCTTTGATCCAAGATTGCTCGAAAACTTGCCGCACCACCCAACGATGATGAAATTTCTACGGTTGACTGACAGTTCTTGATTCGTTGGGGTGAAACGAAAAACGTATTTCGATTAACATTGCTCTAGCTCATTTTGAATCGTTGTTTGCTTACAAACCACAAGCCCAGGGCTAAAATGCGGCAGTTTACGGTTACCAAAAAAACTCACTAACAACCACTTGAACTTTCGACTCGCGCCATGATTTCGCCTCGGGAACCGGCCACCCTTGTTTTCTTATGCCCAGGCTCCCCGGTTTAAGGACACAACCCGTAGTTTTTCCTGGACCGTTAGCCAAATATTTCAGTGCATGTTTGGTCAACGCTTGGCTTTAGCCTCGGCAATTATTGCGTGTTGCAGGACCTAACCTAGCATAGAACTGCTACACTGCAAGAAAGACAATGAACAAACCGAATGAGCAGCCTCATGAATGGCCACAAGGTTATCAACAACCACCACAACCCGTCATCCAGCAACAACCAGCTGGTAAGCTTGAGGCATTGTATTTCAGCTGCCCTCTGAATAGACCGTACCATTTTCAAGTTATGCAGTTTGAAGATCATTTGGAAAAATTATTTAGATCGCTGTATGTAGCTGAACGTCTGTGTTTGTGCGTTCCGCTGTGTTGGAACTTGAATGAAATCAATACGGTATTTGCAACGTAAGCTTACAGTAAGCTTGTCGATCGTTGTACGGTTTTAAAGCTAAATATCATTAGTTTGAAACGCATAGATTCATCATTTCAACATGTCTAAAGCTCGTGCATTTGAGACTCATAGTGAAAACAATGTGCGTACTTTTATGGCTGATCACTGTTTCCGATAAAGCACTCAAAAACTGCTACCCTGGTCCAAGAGGATTTTCTTGATTTTTCTCCGCATGAGATGAGACAGCCGCGACTCGTGTTCGCTGCTTCGCGGCTCTCTCGCGGCTGTCCATCTCATGGGGAGAAAAATCAAGAAAAACCTCTGGGACCAGGGTGAAAAAAACTGTCCAAAATCGGCCTAACTAGCCTATATGCAAATCCAGTCAAACGATTATCATATTTAAACTTATGTAACGTCAACATACTTCCCGGGTATTAATTTAAACTATTTATTACTTCAGTTGTATAACCTGTGTCAACAATTTCATCAAAGGGGTTCCTGGACAATTCCAATGGATGCCAGCTCCTCAAGCTCCCATTGGCTGCCCTCCAGGACTGGAATATTTACTTGCAGTTGATCAAATACTGATTCATCAGCTGGTTGAGCTCTTGGAAGGTGAAAAATATTTACCATCCTTAGGGGCAGTGTCTTTACCGTTATACTAAGCATGCTGGACTCGTTATTGAGCAGTCCACATTCAAGCCCTAACTAGTAAGTTCATTCATGTTACAGTATTCTTGGGCAAGCCATCTGTTTCTCTTTCCAACCTGGTATATAAATTGGTGCAGCAAAATTTAATGCCGGAGGTATACCTGTGATGGACATGAATCCCATCCAGAAGGGAGTAGAAATCTGAAAAGTACTCCTAGTCACTTTATAGTGCAGGCCTGATGGGTTACTTTGCACACATGACAGTTGTTGTAGACTTTTCCTATATAAAGTTTTCCTCCTTATTTAATCAAAACAGATTTTGAAATTTGTAATCCAAATATTTTCGCTCGCATGGGATTGGTCTAAATGCGTCACGTGGCCGAATATTCCCCAGCTAAAACTGGGGAATACATAAACAATAGCCTCCATTTAGCGCGAAAATATCCTAGGATATTTGTCTACGGACATTATCTGTTCCGAGAAGTGAATGGTTTTCTGAGAGAGTAGCTCGAGGAAAACTA